TATGACTATATTTCGGGTTTTTTGTAACTGCTTTAAGAAAAACTTATTTGTGAGGTATAACTTATACATCAACCGAGGAACAAAAATTATGATCAACATAATTATTTAGATTGTCTTGAAATATGTAGAAGAAAAAGAGTACAAATATTTTGAAAATTAGATTACCTAAGTCTATAAAATGCTAATATAAAATATATTTTGTGAACATTTCAAATCTCAGCAAATATTAATTTCTGAATTACAAAAAAAAAAAATTCCTTGAAAACTGCAGCTGGTCCATACATATTCCTGTGTTTGCGCTGTTGTTTTCATATAAACAGCTAGTCAAAGGATAAAAACCATAGTACCAATATCTTAGAAAAGGTTAATCTGTGTCCCTTTAAAGCTGTTAAAGGACGAGTATAGACCAAATATATTTTTACTCATAATTGTATATAGCTGCATGCGTATCAAATTTCTGATGGTTCATATGATAATATGTATTGAAATAAAAACATTTACTTAAATCGTACTGATCCATACTACATATTATCCTCCTATAGCTATATTACCATCGTTGGTGAGAGAGATAATATCATCGTTGTTTATGCGTTTTGTTTTTGTGGTTTTTTCTGTTCTTTACAGGCAATTTCGCCAGGGCCAATAATTTTCTAGCGTCGTTTAGACCGAACGTTGGCGGAGGGTCGACTTCAAGACCGTGCAGTGGTAGCGCTAACCCCAACGGCAGCGGTAACCCCAACGGCAGTGGTAACCCCAACGGCAGCGAACAATTTGCGACTAATGGAAACAATGTTGACGGCGATAGTTACGAAAAGGATGTCAAATTGAAGATACTACAATCCTCTCTGCAGCACGTCCCTCTACACGGATGGTCCAGGGATACCGTGGCCGCAGGTATATTCACGCTTTTTCGATAACTCTTTCTCTCGCAACTCACCCATCAAACTAACCCAAAATTATGCCGAACCCCCTCTCCCAAATCAAGCTTTCATCTAGAAAGTATACTTAGTCACTATATTTTTTCTAACATTTTGGAATTAAATCAAAATAAAACATATTTTAAAATAAATGTATTTTAAATTTTATTTCAATGGTAGGTAGGTAGGTACATTGGTAGGTTTACAGTGTGTCTGATAATCGTGATATAAACACAGATTATAAGAATTGTTTTTCTTCCGTAGAAAATGTGCGGTAAAAGAATAATGTTCCCCGTGACTCGACATAGTAATATTTTGTCATAATCCACAGATATGTGTAGTTGTTAACTACTCCATTTGCCACTACGAATGATGTCATCATAGCCATATACCGATAATGGAATGGCATCAAGTGTAAGTAGTGCGTAACAGAAAAGCCTTTTACGAATTTCAGATACCCCCCCCCCCCCTCCAGCCAAAAGACATGTTAAATATGTCAATATGTTTGTGTATACATCATAATACATCGTTTTTAATTATACACTCCGTTTTTACGCCCACTTAACTGCAGCCATTTTGTCTGTCTTACAGGCGCTGAAGACCTCGGTTATCCGGACACTGTACACGGCCTCTTCCGGGACCCGGGGGCAGAGTTGGCTCTGTACTTTTACTCCACCAGCAACGATTCACTGTCTCGACTTCTCCGGGATGGAACGATAGAGGGCCCCAAAGAAAGGTACAGCTGCGGTGCTGGCTTCAGCCATCGGCCGTGTGCATTAAAAATGTATTTTATTCCTCTGTTCGATTACAGCAAAGCTGAGCTGACCTTGTTCCTGACAAACGCCATCAAGACCAGGCTGTTGATGCTCCAACCGTATTTGAACCAGTGGCCGCAGGCGATCGCCCTGCTTTCCAAACCGTCCAACGCGCCGCACGCTCTGTCCAACCTGATGACGCTGGTCAACGACGTCTGTTACTACGCAGGCGACCGGTCCATAGACGTGTGTATAATTTTATAATGTTGAAAATACAAACCTGCATAGGTGACATTAATGGTGGTGGGGTCACGACGGGACAATTGCCGCCCTGAAAAAATATTGCGAGAGAAAACTTATCATTTTAATGGTCAGTAAATCGTGATTAATTTTTGTCCCCCTCCACCTCAACAATTAAGAGCCAAATGCCGCCTATGCAAACTTGTAAACATGTATACAACTATTTGTGTGTCCGCTGATGTATAGTTTTTCCTGAACAATTTTTATACATTTATCGAATAGGATTTCAGAATGTTTTTTTACTACATTAGAAAATTGCAAAATTAATGAAATTTGTAGTACAGTGGATTCCGCTTAATGTGATCACTTTGGTGTAGGTCATTTTGATTCTATTATCCGGTTGATTCTATAAAACATTTACAACATTTTTTTCATGATTCAATCTTTTTATACAGTTACATGTTTATTTATAATTACATATTTAATGTAACATACATAATAAATGACACAAGTACACAACGCACAAAGATAATTGAATACCATAATAACGTACAATGATATACTGTCATACTAATAAGTTCAAAAATATAATGGGTTTTATAAATTAATCAGTTTGAAATACCATAAAAATGTTAAGATTGTTCATAAAAGTAATTCAATTATCCGGTACTTAGTGATTCTAATAAAAGGTCAATTTAATATTAGTAACTTACAATTTGGTTTGGGATTTTCATTTTTGATTCTATAAACCAGTAATCACATTAAGCGGAACCCACTGTATTTTAAAATTTATTCTCGAAATAAAAAAATTGTAGTTTTCATGCCTCATAATTAGAGAAATAGCTCCTCGTGTTAATGGGTGATCTACCAATTCATT